CACGGCGCAAACACATGGGCTTAAGCTGCACCTCAAAGGCGCGGCTTTCCCCCCCGCCCCCCACCGCCAACACCCTCTGCTGCCACTGAGAACTTCCGTTACAGGTCGGTGGAGCCCCCCAGCCCCCCACTCCCGTCCATCACCCAGAAGGAGCTGCAGCGCGTCGGGGAACTCGGCCGGGGCTGGGAGCCCTCCGCGAGGCGTCCTTTGCAAGCCGCGCTTGGCAGCCCCGGCTCGGGCGGGCGTGGGGACAAATTAACATTGGCATTCCAAACCCAGGAAAGGAAGGAAATTGGAAACACAACCGGGACTTGGCCAGCCCTTTGAAACGCTGTACCAGGCTACCGACATCAATTAATGAAAAGCAGGGCTGTGCTGAGAGGCTCTGGTTTGGAAATGCATTAACACACGTTCGACATGTTTGTACAGGAACCGGATTATAAGCACCCCAGCTCCGAAACAATAAAGCAATTACCCTGAAACTGGTGCTCTCCGAGCTGTCATTAATTCGATCCACTCCACGCGGATCAGAAGGGCTTTGCACGCCCCCGACGCTGCCTCTGGCCCCCAACCGCGGCCGAGCTCAGCCAAGACCCGCGGGCGTGCTCCCCCCACGGCCTCGTGGTCACGCGCGCTGCCCGTGACGGCGGGGCGGGGGTGCACAGCGGACCCCCAGGACTCCTTGGCCGTGCCGTTCCACGCCTGGGGGTGGGGGGCTGTTTCTGCGGGGTGCGGGGTGGCTGGCTGGGAAGGTCGACTCCAGGATATCTGTTCCGGATGAAAGACAGACCAAGCCAGTCCCGTGTTGGTCATCTAGTATTTGCCGAATGCCGTTTGCTGCAAAACCCCAAATTCAGCTGCAGCCAAAAACAAGGCTAATAGTGGACAGTTCATGGAACAGCCGAGGTCAGGCATGGGACCGTGTGCGGCAAAGCCCGTAAGTGCCGGAGACCGGGAAGGGAAGGCTTGAAGCTCAGAGGACGGGACGCACCTTGAGCTGCCCCGAGAGGGACCTAGGAGGCTGGACAAGGCGACTTCCAACAGCACCAAAGGCCAGGGAAGATGCTGTGTGCTGCGGGCGGGCTCGGTGTGCAGGGCGGCACTGCCAGCTTCCCTGAAGACCGGGACCCCCAGCATTGCTCCCCGCCCCCGTCCCGGGGCCAGGGCTCACCTTGCCCCCCCTCTCCTGCTCCCCCCTCCGGCCGGGGCCACCCTCCCTCCTTGGATGGGGATGTGGGAGCCAGCCAGTCGGAACCAGCAAGCCGGATGAAGCAAACGGGTGATCACTCCACCACAAATGAACAGTTTCCCTGTAAATATTGGGGTTTCCTCGCCCCACGTCGCCGAGGGGAGGCAGCCACACGGAGGCACTGGAGCGGTGACCCCACCCACCCCCGCGGGCCCGGAGGAGGGCACCCCTCCCCCCCCCCATAACTAAGGTCGTCTGGTGCAAAGGCTTCTCCGGACAAAACATCCACAGGCGAAAGGGCCGGGCAGGCCGGGGTGTGTGCGGACACGAGTCTCGTGACAGGCCAGCTATGATGACCTTACCCCCTGGGGCAGGGGGACAGAGGCCATCGGGGGCGATCAGTCAGCTGGGACGGGGCTCTCCCCGCGATGACGTCACCCCACGCCACATGACTCTCGCTCACTCCGCAGACACGCGGGTGGGCAGGGACGGGCGGCCAGCTGTGTTCACCCCGCGTGGGCTCCCGGGAAGGGCCCCAGCTCCATCTGCATGAGCCGCGTCTCTGAGCCATGTGTCCCCTTCTGGCCCCCACTCCCAGCACCTTTGCGGGGTCCCGGCCTGCCTCCTTCCTGGGAACCTGGGCGTACCAACACCCTCCTCCCAGCCTCGCCCCCCCCCCAAAACATGGAATACAGAGCTGGCATCCAGGTGAGGGGGTGGGGGGGTCCCAGAAGGGAAATCCACAGAAGTTCAAACCCGGGTCACCTCCATCCTTGGGAAAGGGGAAAACGGCTCTTTGATGTCCAGACGCAGGAAAATGAGGTTTCCAAAAGGCGGCCAGCGAGGGCCAAGCCGCAGCTGCGGTGCCCGGCCGGGGACGGGAGAGGGGTGAGTGGGGCGTGTGACATCTCTATTAACCTTTGCTGTTCCCCGCGAGGGCGGGCGGGCGGGCGGGCGGGCGCCCCGGTGCTGGAATGCGGGGCGGCCCCTTCCAAATTTTTAACACAAGCCAGGTTACAGCTGCAGACGCCTGGCCCAGCAGTCCCCGAAGGAAATTTTTAAACTGTAACAGAATCTTTTTCTAATACTCTACCGTGGGAGGGCCTGTTCTGAAGGGGCAAAAGGAGAGATCTTAATGCCAAACACTTGTCAACAAAAAGGATAGCCAGATGGGACAAAGTCAAAAGCGCGCGGCCCTCCCCGCCCCCGGCTCCATTAACAAAAGCCGCTTTGAGAAGCCGAGTCCAGTAATGATAGGTTTCCAACTTTCTTTCTTTCTCGGAGCTGAACTTCGAAGATGAAACCGCGCCGGTGCCCGCATGACCCGGGCCCCGAGATAAACACGGATCGCACAGCCCTCGAGGCCCGCCAGCGTCTCCAGAAGATTCCAGAAGGAGCTGCTGGGTCTCTCCACCCAGGAGAGGAGGGCGGGGGCTGTGGCCCCAGACCCCGGGCTGCAGAAGGATCGCGTTGCCTGAGAACAAGTGGAGGGAAGGTGGTCTGTTTCGAATTCCGAAATTAAGTCTACACAGAGGGGGACTGTTAATCCAAACCAGTTTACAAATCTCGGGCTCAGGGCTGCGGGCACCACCGCCCCGGGACCGGTCTCTGCCCTCCTCGGACCCAGAACCTGCTTTTGTCGTGAGTTTCCTGGGTTCTCTGAGTCCCCCCCTTTGGGCCTGGCCGAACGCTCGAATTCCAAGAACGCCTTATAGGAACGAACAACCAGTTTGGCCGCAGACAGAAGAGAGAATAAAATAAATGCACCAGGTCTGCAAAAGCCTTCAGAGTCCGGGCAGAGGGCCCCCGCGCTGCAGGACGGCCGGCTGGTCGGCCGGGGCGGGAGGAGGGGCGAGCCCAGCCCGCGAGAGCTCCACCAACGGGGTCTCCCGAAGCCCCCCGCCCCCCCATGACCCCCACAGGAGAGCAAGCACCGGCTGGTCATGGACCAGTGACTTCCCCCGCGGTATGCTCCATATCACATGCTGTAAATTACAGGCCCGGCCAAGTGCAGGGGTGCTTCCCTTCCCCTGCAGACCCCGCTCCCACGCCACCCCGCACCCCTCCTCTGGAGGCACCTGGGAGCTGGCAATGAGGACATGGGGAGTGGCTGTTTGTTCCTGGGCTGTGGCAGAGCCGAACGGCCACCACTGAGGGGACCCTGGCCGGAGCCCCCGGCAGGAGGCGTCTCCTCCTCCAAACTGCCCCGGCTCTACCTCAAATTTTAAGAGCTCGAGAAAGAAAACAAGGTCCCGGGCGCTGTTAAAAGTCCACGGGCATCTAACCGGGAGTGATGTGGCAGAAAGCAGGAGCTCGGAAGCCAGCGGCCCCCAAACGCCACGGCCGGCCCGGCTGATCAGGAGATCCAGACAGGCTGGTCTTTGTCCTTTCGGGATGAAAGCAAGGGGCCCAACGGCGGCGAGAGGTGTGCGCACGACCCACCCCGCCGCAGGGCCGCCGAGCAAGTCCCAGCCTGCTGGGCCCTGCCTGTCCCCTGGCCAAGGCCCCCCAGGTCGCGTGCCCTGGGTCCCTCACAGCAGTGCTTTACGCCCCCCCAACTCCCAGGGCTTACAAAGACCTTCTCCGAACCCACAGCCAGGCCCGAAGGGGGGCCCCGGGACCTGCTACTGGGGGCAGCCCTGGGCGCCCAGCAGGAAGACGGTGCTCTGATGAGCTGACCCAAAAGGGCTCCAGCACCGGGCACTGGTTTGGCTCCTTCCTTCCTTCCTTCCCCGAGGGTCGGACACTGCTACCACCACGAGCGGCCAGTGAGCACAGCGCGAGTGGCCACGAGTGGGGCCCCTTCTCCGAGAAACCCCAGTTTGAAGCCCTGGGGACCTACGCGCCCAGCGGCCTCCACACACAGGAACCTGCTCCCCTCGGGCATGGGGGGAGGTTTAAGGCCGGCACCGGCTCCCTAAGGATCAGTGAAACTTCTTGACTCTGTCCTCCCTCCGATTTGGGGCTATTACTGAAGACAAAGGCGCCGGGGCCCCTTATCTGGGGCAGGAAGGATTCCGGCTTACCCCCACACACACACACCCCGGCCCCCTACCCCCGCCTCGCAGCCTCGCATCCACGCCCCGGCGGGTGCCCAGCGGGAGCTTTGGGTCTCATTATTCCAATGTTGACAAAGCACCGTGCGGTGCGGGTGGGGTGGGGGGACCGTTTCCCGTATTTGCCTGCCTTGGGATTTTCTCCGCAAGTTCCACGTGTCGGAGGGAAGGAGTCAGGAAAGGGCGCTGCGGGGCGTGTTATCTCGCGAACCAAATATCTGACCACGGGTCCCACGACGCGCGCGCGCGCGCGCGGGGCCGGGGCTGAGCCCGGGCAAAAGTCCCAGCGTCGCGCGCCCGCCGGGGCGCAGTGGCGCGGCGCGGCTCGGGTCCCGGGACGGGTCCGTCCCCCCACTGCCCCGCGCTGGGGGGACGCCCCCTGACCCAGGGGACCCCGCCCCCCGCACACCCCGCGCGCGCCCCCACCCCCAGCGCCGCGGTCGGCGCGCCGCACGCGATAAAACGCTGGAAGTGGCTCCGGTGCCCGCGCGGGACCTATCATTAACTATTTAAAATAGAAAGTTGGCGACGGCGACGCTCCCTCCGCGGGCCCGGGGTGGGGTGGGGGCGGGGTGGGGGCGCGGGCGCAGGTAGGACCGGCCCGGGGGTCCCGGGGAGGCCGGCCCGGGGGGCGCGCACGGGGCGGAGGGCGGCTCACGCGACCGGCCGCGCTGGGGCCGCGCGCGCGGGGGTGCCCGGGGCCCCCGCGGGGACCCGGCCGGCCCGACTCCCGCCCCGCGCCCTGGCGCGCTCACCCAGGTTGACGAAGCTCATGACCATGTCGGCGTCGGTGAGGAAGTGGCTGTCCTGCAGGCTGGCCAGCGGCGGCCCCTGGGTGCTGAGGAGCGCCTTGTAGGGGTAGGAGAAGCCCTGGCCGCCGGGCGCGCCGCCCTCCTCCCCCGCCATGGCGTTGTACAGGTCCAGCATGAACATGGGCGCCGAGTTGAGCTTGCCCTGGAGGTGCGGGCGCGGGCGGTGCGGCAGGCCCAGGATGGACAGGATCTCGCGCTGCATCTCCCGCCGCTCCTGGCTGCGGAGGCGCCGGTGGATGAAGCTCGAGTGCACCTCGTTGTCCAGGCCGAAGTCGGCCAGCGCGGCGCGCAGCAGCAGCAGCAGGGGCGCCCAGCCCGCCGCCGCCAGGGCCCCGGGGCGCCCCGCGCGCACGTGCATCGCGCCGGGACCCCCGGCCGCCCCGGCGCGCCCTCCCGCGGGCTCACCCGCGGCGCGCGCGCATGCCCCCGGCCGCCGGACCCGAGCCCACGCGGCCGCTCGCCCGCGCTGGCCGGGCGCGGAGGGCGCGAGACAGACCCGGCGGGGCGCGCGGCGAGGGGCGGGCGGGGTGGGAGGAGCGCCGGGGCGCGGGGGGCCGGGGGCCGGGGGCGCGGCGGCGGCGGCGGCGGCGCGGGGGGCGAGGGGCGAGGGGCGCGCTGCTCCGCGGCTCCCGCGCTGGGCCCAGCGGCCGGGCACTCGCGCGCCGACTGTGCCAGCCCCGCGCGCCCGGGTCGCGCCCAGACGCCGCCGCCGCCGGAGCCCCGGGGCGGGGGCGGGCGCAGGGGCGGGGACGGGCTCGGGGGGCCCCGCCCGCGCGCGCGGCCTCCCACCTGCCCCGGCCCCGCCCGCCCGCCCCGCGCGCCGCCCAATGGGTCCATTCATCGCTCCCGGGAACCGCAGATACTGACCGAGTCCCGCGGGGGCGGGCGGGCGGGCGGGGGGGCTCCGCGCGGGGACCCCCGGGGGCTTCGGGGCGGGGGACCCGCGGCTTGGCCCCGGCCCTTCTCTCGGTCCGGAGCCTCCCCCCGGGTCAGCAGAGCTGGGGGCGTCCCCCCACTCCTCCCCTCGGCCGTGGTGTGTCTCCCCCCCCCCGGGGAACGGGGCTCCCCCTGGGCCCAGGTGCACCTCCGCCCCGTTGGGGTCCCCGCAGGCTTCGGGGAGGGGGCCCACCGGAGCCCAGAACCCCCTGAGCCCCGCGGAGCCGCTGCCGTGAGTGAGGGGCGTGCCGTCCCCCCCCCCTCCCGCCCCATTTGTTCTAGGTGGCCATGGGTGGGCGGGGGAGACGGCCCCGGGGACCCCCGCTGCGTGCGCCCCCACCCCGGCCCCTGGCGCTGGGTGAGGACGGGGTGGAGGGGCCACGTCTACGTTTTCCTCCCACTTCTGGGCCTGTCCCCGCAAACTAGCCTCCAACCCGTGGTCCTCTGGGCCGCCCCGATGGAGGGTCTCCCCCGGGAGAAAGGCAGGGTCTGAGCTGGGGCTTGGGACAGCGCTGGCCCAGCCTGGGGTGGGCTGGGAGAGCACCCCCAAGGCCAGGAAGAGGGATCCGTCTTCTAGAGTTTTCCAGGGCAGAGATGACGGTGGCCACTGGGCCCCAGGGGTGGGGAGGGGAGGGGGCTTGGACAGAAAGGCGACCTGAGGCACCGTGGGGGTGGACAGAGAAGCCCAACAGAGTCAGCCTGGCCGGTCCAGGCCCAGGGAACAGGCTGCAGCCCGAGGGGGCGGGGCCTCTGGGCAAGCCCCACCCCTCCCGCGTGGAGGTCCGAGTGGGCTTCCCGGCCCGCAGACACTGGGCTCTGCACCCTCCGGCCTCACCGCACCCTTGCAGCTTGGTGAACCAAGAGTCCAAGTTTGGCTTTGGGGCCCCGGCAAATGACACGTGGCACGTCCCCTCTGCGTGTGTCCACCTGGTAGATGCCCTCTGGAGGCAGCTTCAGGCCAGGGAGAGGAAGTGGAACCGTTACCAGGATTGGGGGGCTGGAAGCAGGCCTGAGGGGGCTGGGCAAGGCCTGGGAGGACCAGCACACAGCAGCCTGCGCCCGGGAAGTGAGTGGGGTACAGTGGGGTGGGAGAGTCTCCCCAGGAGCTGCCACTGACCCAAGCCCTGCAAGACTGGCACGGACTGTTTGCCCTAGAAAGTTCCGGCAGGGCCCCCAGCAGCAGGACCAGCCACGTCTACTCAGGTCCCCAGAGCTGCCAGGCCCCATCCCCCCCTTCCAGGGGTCACTGATGCTGCTGCCTGGAGCCCGTTTCCAGCGTCCAGCAAGCTGCCCGCCCGGCTCAGTCGCAGCGCACGCAGGAGAAGGCCCCGTGGGAGGGGAGTTGCCTGTCTGAGGCTCACAGACCCCTCGGCACCCCCTTCGTCTGGGACCCCCCCACCTTTTCTCCTGCGCGGGAGGCAGGCGCTGTTCCTGGGGAAAGCGGGGCGCAGGGTCCCCCTGGACTCGCAGCCCCACCGCGCCCCTGTCTTCCCACGATGGGCGCGCAGAGCCGTGGTTTCCCCGCTGACACCAGGAAGGAGCGTGTGAGTGAATGAAGGAATCCTCCGTGTATGAGTGCATGAATGCACACGTGGACGGAGTTGTGAATGAGTGAGTGAGAAAATGAATGAATGTTGAGGGAGCGGATAAGCACGAATAAATGAGTGCGTGGGTGAATGAAAGTGGATGAATGAGTAGGAGTGGGTGAATGAAGACGACTGAAAGAATGAGTGTAAGTGAGTGAATGAATGCATGCATGAATGAATGTGAGTGACTATGAGTCAATGGTAATGAGTGAATGATGAGGCTGGAGCGATAGCACAGCGGGGAGGGCGTTTGCCTTGCGCGCGGCCGACCCGGGTTCGATTCCCAGCATCCCATAGGGTCCCCCGAGCACCGCCAGGATTGATTCCTGAGTGTAGAGCCAGGAGTGACCCCTGTGCATCGCCAGGTGTGACCCAAAAAGCAAACAAAAACTAAAACTAAAAATGAGTGAGTGAATGAGAGTGTAAGTGAACGCGAGTATGAGTGAGCGGATGAATGAGGGTCAGTGCAAAGAGAATGTGGGTTCAGAGCGCTGCCTGGGCTGCTTTGAGAGCGGAGGCCACCAGCAGAGGCACTGGGTGGGTTCAGGTCTTGGGGGAGGCTGCCCTCCTGCCGCGCCCCCCACCAGATCTGTCACTAGCTATGACCGCTCTGGCCTCAGTTTCCCCATCTGCGTGATGGGGGACTGAGCTCTGTGGGGACATCGGGGCGATGAGGACGTGAAACCGAAGCGCTCGGGAGCTCTACCCGATGCCTGCGCCCCGGTACAGCCCTGGATAAATGGGGTGACCCTCTGGCCAAAGCAAGTGTCCCAGGAGCCCTCCCGCTCCAAACACAGTCACCTTCGCCAGACTCTGGAGGGAGCAGAAAGAGCAGGAGCCAGCGGGGGAGCGAAGGGCGCAGCAGGGTGGGGGTGGGGGAAATGCCCCTGCATTCCAGCCTCCTCGGACCCCTCCTCATGCCTGCCTGGGCTCTCCAGGACCAGCTCCCACCACACGCCCAGCTCTGGGGACCCAGGCAGGTCGGTAACCCGAGCTGCCCTGCCTGGAGTCCCCCACCTGGAGCTGCCGGAGGGGTGTTATTGTGTCTGGCTGCCCAGTGGCCCGCCACACCCCTGCCTGGCTCGCTGGCCTCCTCCCGGCCTCCCGGCCTCCCGCGGGCGGGCGCAGGCTCGGGCGGGGCGAGGAGTCTTCATTTCATACTTCATCCCTCACATCTTGCTGAAGCGCTTTTGACCAAGTCAGCATATGTCTTGGAGCAATAAAAAGGAGAGAGGAATTCTGCTGACTCGCACATCCAGGGGCGGGGGACCATCTGCCCCGAGGAGACTCCACGGGGTGGGGGCCTCCTGGAGAGCCCAGGGATGAGGGGAGATGCCTCGGTCCCCCCACACGGCCAAGGTGTGATGTCCTCGGACCCACGGGCACGAAGAGCCCAAAGGCTGGGCAGAAGCGGGTTTGAAAGCCAGGCGCAGAGCCCGGCCTGGGCGGAAGCGTGTGGGCACCTTCTCGGTCCTGCATTGCCGCACCAGACGTGCCGACTCGCACCCGCCCCCTCGGGGACTTTGATGGCACCATTTTTGTATTGTTTGTTTGGGGGCCACACCCAGTTGTGCTCAGGGGACCCTATGGGGATACCAGGGATGGAACCCAGGCCCGCCGCGTGCCAGGCACATGCCCTCCCCGCCGTGCTATCGCTCTGGCCCATCATGGCATCATTTTCAGGCAGAGAAGACACGTCCCAAGCAGCACCTCCTTTTGCAGCTGGTGTGGCAGCTGCCACGGTGCCCCACGCAGACACGCATGTGCGTGCACACCCACGCACACGTGGACAGGCACCAGAGGAAGCTCACGCCCCAGGCAGGGCTTTCGTGCCCTTCAAAGAGCAGCGAGCGCGCTTTTTGTTTGTGACCACAAACCATTCTCGCCTTTTCGAGTCTCCCGTCCCTCAGAGTCACTCCAGCTTCTCCCCCTCCGCCGTCGCTCCAGTGACTGTTCCTGGCACGGGTGTGGATGTGGCGCTTGCACACCGGGCCTCGGTGCGTGTCAGAGCTCACATTCGAATGTCAGGGCGCACATGGGCTGGGGAGACCACACTCATGGCGCTGGGCTTGAACATGCCCTGGCTGCTGTGCTCACACACGTGCTTGCATGTCTTTCCTCGTGGTATGCACTCCCATGGCGGTGCTCCAGAGTCGGTGGGTGCTGGGGCTTCCGATGGGCGGCGCAAACTCAAGGCTTCACCTTGGCAAGCCCTGTCGCCACTGAGCCACCTGCCCCCGGGACCCCCGAGTGCTTTTGCAAGGATGGTCCTGCTCCCTCTAAGGTGACCTGCACTATTACACTCATTCTACAGCAGCTGAGGACCTCCGGAGCCAGCCACGGCCATGCTGGGACCACTCTCTACATGGCCGGACGGCCTCATGCATGAAAGAACTGGCAGAGGAACCCAGGCATGCGGGTCCTGGGGCTGAGGTCTCCAAGCCTACTCGGATTGGGACTGGGCCTTCTCCACCCAGACCCCCCATCTTCCAGTAGGCAGGCGTCACACCCACCAGCTGCCACCAGCGCCAGGTTGGTACCATCAACGGCCAAGACCCAGGGACTATAAAACCCAGCTCCCGGAAGCGCGTGGCTGCATTTGCGGCCGCGTGACATCTTATTATCTTATTTTTCCTTTGGAGAACCTGGCAGGCTACCAAAAGTATCCTGCCCGCACGGCAGAGTCTGGCAAACTTCCCGTGTCATACACAATATGCCAAATACCAGTAACAATGATGGGTCTCATCCTCCTGTTCCTGAAGTAAAGTAAAGGCCCTCCCGTTGATCATTGATTTTCTCGAGTGGGCCCAGTAACGTATCCATTGGAGACTTTGTT